TCGTTCAAAACTGTATTTGTTAACCTTGTATCATATCAGTCGCAAGACGTACGAAATGATATACAATTATATAAATGAAGATTCTTACCTTAAAAAGATGCTCGCTACATTCGAACATGGGCGTGCTCATGACTGCGGTCGACATCTTCCCTTTCGTGTTTATATCTCGCGCACAAAAACTCAAAAAAAAAAGGATCACACTGAAGTCTTGCTCCTCTTCTCGTCACCTAACGAACGCCCTTTGGAGAACGTTCTTATGTATGTACTACAACGCTTGTAATAACACCAAGGAACTTTCCTCACTTGCCTATGAATTTTCGGATCTGAACATTTAGAAGGCACCACTGCGAGTCACGAGTTTCGATAATTAATTAATTAATTAAAGACCGATTTGCGAACGGTCACCTCTCTTTGGTTTATTCTCGGCCGATCGTCACGTTCAATAATTAAAATAAAAAATCCACCGATACGGAGAGAGCGAGAGAGTGTACTTGGCACTTTGTATCACGACACCCGTATTTCTCCGGGGAGGGCAATTAAAAAAAAAAACAACAAACAAAAAAAACAACCGTTCTCGTATGTAATTTCGACGGTAGAGACGAAGCTCGCTTGGCCTCCGAATGCGAACTGATGCCAGCTAAGAATCGCTTGGCCGACGCTCCGTTCTGACTTCGAGCCTCGACCAATGGACGCTGGTCCCGAGCCCCAACGCCGCCGTTCCCCACCGATTTCAAACGAAAATCTGGCAACTGCGCAGAATCGTAACAAAACACGTTTCGTCTTGTATATAAGTCGTATATATATATATATATGTATCACACATGCACGCCTCGCTCTTTCTTTCAAGTACGCATTTAGAAAAACTACCCCCTTTGGATTTTTGGGAAAACCCCATTGGCGAATAGCATCGGTGGTTCAACCCCACAGGCGTGGACCTTCAACCCCTAATTTCTATCTCGTTCCTTACAACAAATTTTCAATTTGTTTCATTACATTACAGATTTCTCTGTTATTATTTGTCAGTTATAATAAATCAATTATAATCTCGGTTGAACAATACATTTAATGAAACTGTTGTTGTTATACCTAATTATTTCAAATCGTCGGTTATACAAATTACTAACAGAGAGGCAAATCTGCGTGACTAAACGGTTAAGGATAATATTAGCTTTCGAGAACAACGAAATGACAAAGAGAGAGAGAAAAAAAAAAGAGAGAGAGAGAGAGAGAGAGAGAGAGAGAGAGAGAGAGAGGGAGGAAACTGTGCGAGCACTAGCTATTTCACAATGTAAACATTGTTCACGTCGTACGATAATATATTAAGACCCTACGCATGAAATTTACCATATCTCAAGTTAAATCCCTCAGTGAACCAGTAGAGCAAACTGAAAAAGACAAACTATCATACACGTATAACAAATACGTTATCTAACATAAATACAACAAACTGTCGTTATATACATATATAAAGAATTATCTTAAAATCAAGATTAAAGTATTACATTGTACGATAAACTAGAACTTTAGACACGAAATTTGCGACATCTCTAAAGAACCATTAAAGGTAACTATCGAATGTGTATCTGAAACTCAAGTCCTTACACATACTTGTACGTACTTACAACTTCAAGGATTACGAGATAACATCTCTAATTACGATCTTAAGGTTACTTCTAAACTGTTTCCCACTTTGTGTTCTCTATAAAACTTGTTATTTACAAAACGTACGTATTTGAGAACGTGGGATGGATTTTATTCTTATCAGCAAAATTCGCTGCTATCTTTTATTTAAGGAAGCTGTGAAGAGATATTAACTGGCTCGGTTTTACACCGAGCACTTATTCAAAAATTCTTCTACTGTATCTCCCGTTACTAAATTATCATCAATATTTTTCAACAAGATGAATTAAAAAATATTAAATTGTAGATTCTCTTTTCTAAATACCAAAAGAGCTTCAACGGTCAGAGAGAGAGAGGACAAAATTCCTATGGAATGGTCACCTCATTTGGAAATCGATATTCAGAGCATTCAGGGGAACAATGTCAATAACAGGGGATTGAAATTAGTTCACGGTAACATGAAGAGCCCGCATGCATCATTTCATGATATCTATAATGTACATAGTTAGACCACCATAACGAAAACTGACTCCCCCATTAACCGTTATATGTGTTACGCATGTGAATCTGTTTCTCGGAGGGTTGAAAAGCCTCCCTCGTCCGAGGGCGAAACCCTCATCGGCCCGTATGCCATGAGAAAAACCATGACACCCGTAAATTGGACTTCTGACACATTAGGATTATATCAGAATCAACCAGTGGATTGTTATTGATCAATCATATAAAGTAAATGATGGACAATGTATTGTTATCGTAGAGATAAATGATAAGAGATGATCCATTCGATCTTTCGACATCGCCTGACAAATAATAATTGTCGGTTCCAAGGTAAACACTTTAGACGTTCTAAAATTAGGTTCGGATAATCTAAAATATTCGTCGAAGCTAGTTTACATTTCCAATTGCTCGACTGCTTTAATTAAGTAATTTGAAAAACCAAAAAGAAACGATTAACGTAGATTATAATTTCATGGTCAGTGCTTTGAATTTCATTGAGATATTTATTAGAATAAAATTGATCAACATGATTTATAAATTTTTGGGTGATCAAAGTTGATCATTTCCATGTCTAATTGTACGAATAACTTGAAACGAGATCGAGGATTTTATACATATGTATATAAAATATAAAGGCCAGACGTAAATATCTAAAATACATTTCTTCAACTAAGTATAAAAATCTTTGTATAAAAATCCAGTTTATATACGACCAATTGAAATCCATATAAAATTCTTCAAACTGATAGAAGTTGAGAGCTTGGAAAAAAATTTGATACATATTTATAGGTACTTACCAAGAGAAGAAGTGGGCGGAAATGGATTAATCTCGACCTGGAAGTAAAGTTTCGATAAGTTAAATTACAGAAATGACAAGAATCGATTGAGAGAAAAAGAGAGACAGAGAGAGAGAGAGAGAGAAAGGGAAAGTGAATCGGGTGAAAGTCGCTCGTCCGGATAGTTTTGCCTTCATTTTATCCGGTTTGCACACGATTATACATGTTCCCTACAATTTCCTTTGTAAACCTGTCCGTAATTATATAAAACAGCAACAATAAGCTTACCAGTTATTTTCTGGTAATATATAAATCGTTCGTTAATATTAACATTGTACTTTCTAATATTATTAATATTACAATAACGCAGATAAAATAAAGAAACATAAAATAGTATTAGATTAAAACGCAAGGCTGAACTATAAATTTCTGATTAAATTCATTGCATTTTATTTCGATCCATTGAATCAACGTTATTTGACTAACGAACAAAAATTGTGTACGTTTTAATATCATGACGGGAGACACAGGATGCATTGACAAAGGGACAAAAGGTAGAAAGAGGAAAGGAAAAGTCAGCCAAGTGTCCAGCAGATGTACATACATGTGTACGACGCTATTGGAGCAAAAAGAAAAAGACACGTGGTAAACAGAAGAGAGTCTCTTTTCTTTCTCTCCTTCCTTCATGTGTTCCCGTTCTGTTTTCGAACGCCCGGGACAAATCGTTTCAGCTCGGCTGCTGGCAATTTATTAAAAACTGCTACAAACTCAACCTTCAAATCGTTTTTCTCAAGGATTTATAGTCCGGCTAAATAGAAGCAC